AGGACATTAATTTTTTTGGATATGTGGATTGTTCCAAGATGCACTCTGTGTGGTGAAACGAGTGGTTATTTAAGATATAGACACTCCCAGTATTTGGTTAAATGCCAATGAATGACTCCAGATTCTCAGCTCGATCTGAAGGGGACCCTGAAGTTCATGGACATTCAGTACCACCATGCTATTCCTTTCACAAGTCTGATGTGAGACAGTAACTGCTGCTTTGTCCAAAATTTAAACTCATGTTTTTTAAATGAGTCACTTTGACCCTGTGTATGGCTTTCATAATACACCATTCAAGTACGCAATGGGATAGTAATTAAGCTGATAAAAGATTACATAATATTTTTCAATTGCCTTAATTGCTAAAGAATTGTGCTTTTAAAACAAATCAACTAATTTGAACCCAATCAATTACATGCAATTAAGAAATGGTCAATCTAACAAATGTTACTTGCAACAAAACACGCAGTGCTTTGGAAGTGATTTTGCGTAAGATGTTTTTTGTCATTTCCCATACAATAATTTCAGTTCACTGCATCTAACCCTGTATTTACCACGTGAACATTTACATCACCGGTCCAGTTTCACATTTGAAAAGAAAAGACTGGCTTTTAATAAATATTTACTCTTTCTTTTAATCATTTTTCATAAACGTAACAGCAAAGCCTCTAACACATTCTTTGATAAGGGAGGAGGCAGCCAAGGCACAGGGAGCATATCCGCGGACACTCCTCGTTCTTCCTCCTCCTTCGTCTTGGCATGGCTGTCTCTTTCGATCGGGGAAAGCCAAACGGAGCAGATGCAACGGAATGGGAAATGAAAAACCATAGCAGGGCCTTCAAAAGGACTTCCTCCGCCTCGCCCCGCTCTTTTCATCTTTTTACCCCAACAAGTGGTGAAGTACAAAACAAGACGCCAAATGAGGAAACAAAAGAATACGAGACCAAGGCTGCCTTATCAACTTTTTCTACTCGGAAAGAAATCCAAATATCTTTACAAGTTCTGTACAATTAAAAACAAAAAATCAGTGCAGTGCTTCAAATCGTTTCAATATAGCTGTGTTAAAATGCGATATCTTGACTAGGAGAAAACGGTGAATGGGTAAATGAATGGCATGAACTTAAGAAGCTTTGGTTAGCGCCCTGTATGGAGTTGTACCCTGTTTTAAAAATCACTGGTTCAAGTATCAAAGCTCATACAGTACGTTACATATGACGTGATCTTATGGCATGGGTGTATCAAAGAAATAAAAAAAAAATAAAAGCAAATCATGTCTACAACTCAACGCTACCCAATCCTATTCATTTTAATATACAAACATGTTTCGCAGTGATCTGTGGTTAGGATCAGCCATAACATTATGACCACAAGAGCGAATATCAGCTACTATGGCACCTATAGTCTACAAAACAAATCGCATGCCAGTAATTTAGTCGTGGTTTAGGTCTTGGTCGATATTTTTAAGCCTAATTTCACCATTTTGATCCGAAATTATAGAAAATTTTGAATATAAATTGTGCTTTGGCTATAACTCTTGAGCCATAGTAGCATAAGGCAGTCTGTCTTGGCAAGCTTGACAGTAAAATGAAGTGCAACATGGTTTACAAGCAAGCTAACATTTTATAGTATGTTTTTCTAGACTTAATCATATGTACAACTAGACACTTTTAAAATTGCACAATAACTTTTCATTTATTTACATCGCCATCTATTTCTATGTACACTTTACACAATTCACTTTTCAACAGAAGCAGTGTATCCAATTAAATGGTCACAATGTTTTGGCTGACTAGATGCAATGCTAGCTCGTAAGTCTGCATTGTTCTTGACTGTCAACAAAATGGAGGGAGCTTATTGAGGCTGCACTTACCCACTAAACACTTCAAAATGAAATGGCTTTTTGTTCCTGATGAGACGAGGCTTGTATTTGAACAAAATCTGCTAATGGGAAGCACTGATATGGAAGAACTCAAATGTGTACGGAGGCATCGGTATCTGCTCGGAGAAATGGATTTGTCATTTTTTCCTCCGTCGCGGTGTAAAAGCATTTTAAAGGTGCGCTGTGTAACTTTTCTGGTGAAGGGTTTCGTCAAAAGCTTTTCTTCATGGAGATCTTGTTGCTTTGTCTGGAATGTTTCACAGTATGGGATTAAATAGGGGTGTAACAGTACATCATGGCTCAGTATGTACCACGGTTTGGTTCATTTTTGGTACAGTATGGGAAGAAAATGCAATCATGCTGAAACATTTTGGTACAGGACTATCAGTTCGGTGCAGGGCTGTGCACGAGTGAATTCTCGCAATTTGTGTGTTTACATTTTCCCACTACATGTACAGCTACACGGAAGGCTCGGCTCTTTAATAATCATGAAGGAACTCATCTGTGATTGGGGTGGCAATGGTTCCCGCAGTGCTTTATATTTAGGGCGACCACCCTGACAACAATTGACCACGTCTCTCTAAACAACGTGAATTTTCGCAAAACTACGACTGTCACGCTACGGATGTAGATGCTTTTGCCGGCACTGAATTTGTTTAATGTTTACAGGGAATTTAAAAAAAAATATATTATTTCATACAGTTGCTGCTTATTTGAGAATATTTTATTTAACTTATAGTATTACCAAGCAGCAGTTTGCATTTATTTTATTTTCCCATTTTTATAATGTTAAAACTAATACATAAACAAACAGTTTTGCATTTTGTTCCCATACTATACCGAAAATGAACCTGAACCGTGACCTCAAAACCGAGGTATCTACCGAACTATGATTCTTGTGTATCGTCACACCCCTAGTATTAAACCTTTCTATCATCATGGATACCAAACCAGGTCAGATCTGTGGAGAGGCAATAATGAACAGTCAGAATGTATGTTTTTCTAGGTGTTTTTGAGCTGCACCTATAATTCCGTAAATGTAAGGTAGAACTGTTTAATGTGTTTCTATGAAAATTTTGAGGCAGAGCAATGACATATCCATAGAAACAAGCAAGTGACATGTCCCCATCAAAAAGTTACACAGTGCACCTTTAAAACTATCCGCACTGCGTCACCTGCCCGTCTTTCTATGTATTATAGGGCATTTCAGAGAAGCCTTGCACCCAATTTGGAGCCATGAGCGAGGAATGTGTCCTAATAAACCACAATGAAGCACTGCAAATAGCGTTTAAAAGCAGCACGTACCCAAAAGGAAGCAAAAACACTGAAACATATTTCTTTTTCTTCAGATAAAAGCACAGAACAGAAATAAGAGAAAGGCCTTCGACTGGTACAAAACACTCACAAAAAAATCGAGCTACAGTTTCTTTTACTAACACCACATTCACATTTGAGAAACCTTCAGCTTGCAGTACCACCTTCACTTGGTAAAAATACAATACTGACGGCGCTCCGGAAAGAAAGTGCCCTTCATTTCGGAATGCCGTGGAAAAAAGTTTGCTGCAAAACAACATGGATGGTCCTGGATAATAGATTTCTCTGCCAGAGCTGAGTCGTCGCTTTCGACCCAACTTCAACACTGGCTTTTATGGAAAGAATTTGAAAGAAGTGTGATTTTGGTTACTTTAAACATTGTTTCCAGTGTAATAAAGAGATCTACTGTAGTTGAGTCAATTTGGTCCACCATTATCTCCAAGCAAACCATACATGTATTTTAATGTTGAATTTGATGTACACATTTGTTACTGAAATATATTTGATCGATTTTAAAAAAAACTGAGACTAAAATATAACAAAAACATGAGACTTGCAAACTTCATGAACCTTGTGATGAGTAAAATATAGCGATTTTTTATTTTTATTTTTTTCTCGTTTTATCCATGGGTGAGCTTGTGAGACCTTTTGCGCGTTCAGAACAGACATAAAATTAGTAGATGCGTCTTCCTGGATTAGCAACTCCTCGAGATTTTAGAACACTGGAGCCAGACCCCTGTCGTGAGTCACCATGAACGTCTACGAAGACTAAGATTCAGAAGATATAATATTTGTTTTGTATTGTTAATTGCCATGGTGCCAGATTTTCAACATCACCAGAAACTCAACACACAGGAACCCTTGGATAATGTCTACTTTCAATCTCAAGCCATTTCCTCCAGACCACTGATAACAGTGTTTAGAGTAACCAAAAACATCAATGGACTTGTGGAACCAATCACTGCCTTTGTTATGAAATATAGAAGCTGTCTGTAATATATATAGAGAGATTTGCCTATTTTATACTCTTCACTTTCAGTCACTAAGCATGACAACATTTCATAGCACATTTCATCTAATCAAAAAAAGTTTTCTTTGCACTAAACAACATTCAAAGTAAAACATGGCACAGGACGACTTTTTCCTTGTGTTTTTCATAATTATCAAATCCTCGATCTTTTGTACATTAAAATGGAAAACAATTTTTTTCTTCATTCATTTGAAAAAGTTTCTATTTATATATCTATATAGAGATTCATATATCCTCTTCTCTCTTTTGATTCAGCTTTGTTGTGCAAATTCAGCAGTTAACACAAGTGGCACAGCACTGAGGAGAGCAGGAATAGAAAAAAAAATCCAAATTGTCGGACTATGGGCGTTTTTTTTCAAAGAAATTCCCTGAATAGTCCTGGTTTGCCTGTGTCCACCTGCTGAAGTGTCTGAAACAATCGAACTGAATCTTTACCATGGCTGTTTATCTACTGTTTATCACCACAATAGAAGCACAGATCCTGGGTTGTTCTTGGCAAATTGTCCCAAAGAAACATTTCGCACTTGTACAGTATTTCCAGAGTTTTTGGTCACTACTGTGGTGAACCAGTCTCGCCTGATTGGCCGAAGACCCCAAATGGTGCTTCCGCCTTATAGGTCCATATCCACTGAGGCTGTAGGGCAGGTTTGATTTGGTTGAGTTGGGCCTGGCAGTTCAGAAGAAGTAAAAGAAGCCAATCCCTGTACGGTTTTGAACTCTCCAGTGTGCTCCATTGTTTTGTAGTGAAAGGGACATTAAAGGTTAAAAAGTCACTGCGTCACAAGATCGTCAGGGAAGGCGTGTTGATTGGCCAGTTCGGGGCTGGAGGGCGGAGGGCTGGGGGCTGTGATTGGCCGGTTCTCAGCTGGTCATGGACATGGTGTCGATGACCTGCTCGAGTTTGCCACGTAGCCTCTGCCTGCGCGACTGCTCGTCCTTCTGTAACGCCGTCAGGATCTGGAAAAGTCATCACAAAATGTTGGTAAGGTTAGTAAAAGTATGCGTTTTCAGAAATACAACTACACATTTCTATTGAACAGGACTACAGTCACTATACTCCATACAACTGTACAACAACCCACCCTTATGTAATAGATGAACCATGTCATATCAGTCACTATTTCATCTTTGCACTGTTTCTCCATACCCACCTCTTATATATAGCCCAGACATATTTTTATTTTTACTTGTAAATTTGTATATGCCTTATTACAACTTGCTATTTTTACTGCTTTATTTTAAAATTCAGCCATGTAAATAAAATATATATATGTATTATTTATGTAGTTTTCTTCTGTTTGTAGGAAGTGACACCACGCCCTCAATGCCAATAAGCCGTAGATCAATTGCCTCTAAACTCTTTAATGCTGTTCGGGGCAGAGCAGAGTCACACAGTCATGGAGGAGCTGGGCATCACTGACTCAGCTGCAGTCAACAGGGTGCTGGGAGAGAGTGCTGGAGTCTGTCTGCAGAGATACAGGCCTCATACTTTGAACAGCTCTCAAACTCAGAAAGGAGCACGTGGCCAGGCACCCAGAGTGGTCATCCAGTGACAACTTTGGCAGGTCAAGAGGTCAGGTGAAGAGGACAAAGACAAACTCAGCTGAGCCTGCGTACGGTAAAGCCATGAGGATGTGGTCCAATGGTCTTGTCCATCTGGCACCACCACACCTGCCCCAGCCTGCACCTGCCTATGGACCTGTCACCTGGCGGTCTCCTCACTACTAGAGTGTATTTCTACAGCACATCCAGTTGTACCAATAAATACTTCCTCCTGCACTGAAAAACTATTTGTGCTTTTCATGCTATTTTATAAATCCTACATATTTTATAAATCCTACATAAGCTCTTTCACTTCTGTTGGCGTCTAACTTTCTAGCGGCTTTACTTTCTCCATCTCATATAAAATGTTTTTGTGTTCCAGTAATTCTTCGCCACTGCTTATGGTATATTCTTGAACTTACTCATCTAAGGTGGCAAAAGGCGAACCTTTATCCCATTCACTGCTTTCTGATAGTACTGGCGTATACAGTATAACAGCTACAACTTGGCTAAAGTAATGTTGTGTTTGTGATGCTAGCCAGGCAGGTGAGGGGAATAGTGATCTAAAATGGAATGCTAACGGCGATCGCGTTTACATTGTGGCTTGCTATTATGCGTGGCGCGAACAAGGAGGAGGCGGAGTTGGGTCACAGAGGACACACTACTCTGTATTTATGTGCGTTTTTGTCTTGCTGCCAGCGCATTATAAGCCTGTCTATGTCCGTGTTTGTGTGAGAGGTCAGGGCAAGCCTACATCTGGATAATAGGCTGTAATGACGGGGGACAGTTAGCTTTCAATGGTGCCAGCTGCAACCAGGCCATGTAACTACAGTGAGATTGTGGGCACAGGGCGATACAAGCAGGAAGGATGGGTGGATAAAAGGCTGTGATGGCGTATTTCGGAACACATGAATGCCCCGTGAGAATGGGACGGCTTATACAAAGAAGACATATGGCTGTCCATCAGGGAAACGTCAGGCTTGGACAGATTCCAGCTGAAATTTAGAAATGGCACTGCACCATACTTTTTACTACTATAATTTGGCGCTGATGTTCACAAGTGTGCAGTATAGTTATTGTTTAGAAATGTGAACATAGACGGTAGGGGGGTTACCTAAATGTGGCCAGTTATCAAATCAATGCAGGTTGAAATGTTTTTTTTTATTGCGGTTCAATACATAACATTAGCATTATTAGATCTACAAGTTTAAAATATTGTGCCTGATATTACATTTTTCCAGTGTTATTCAAGCAATCTGAGCATATAATTTTATTTGTTTTGGGGGGCTCATTTCCAAAATGTTTAGTTGACCAACAGCTACAGTCTTTAATCCAGTGTGGTTTTATGAAGTGAAGAGTGTTTTGTCTCCAATTACACTAACTTTTCTTAATTATTACTTTTTAGCACTTGAGTTATTTCAACAGTTGGATAAGTCAAACTTTAACGTGTTCACAATAACTCTCAACTTTGTTTAACTGTAACACGTAAAAAAAAAATACTGTCTGAGACTGCTAAAGTGTTAGCGTATTCACAATAACTCATAATTGTTCAAACAGTTATGGTGCCCAGCACGCCCGCATCCCTCTCGTCATTATCCGAGTCAGTGTGGTTACTGTTCCCTGGCAGTTCAGTGATGATTCTAGTCTTTGTGAAAGTTCAGACCACAGCTGATACTGATCCTGAGCCCAGGCGTCCACGATCCATTGGCAGATCATGGCGTAAGTCGCTCGACGCCGTCTCTCTGTCTTGGTGAATGTGTGTTTGCTTTCTCTCATCCACTGCTCCCACGCAGCTCACAGTTTAACTTTATAATAGCTTTGAGTTTAAAGTCGGCGTTGTAAGTGTGTCTCTTGACAGGTGGCATTTTGATATTAAAAGGAATCACAGTATGTATTACTCCGCAATTCTCTTGACTACGGTAGCCGTAATGCTGCAAGTGGTGTGGCTTTGTAGTTTATTAAAGTTGTACTAAGACACCTGAATATATTCATATATAAGGCGCTCTGGATTATAAGGTACACAGTCATTTTTTTATGAAATAAAAGGCTTTTAAATGCGCCCTATAGTGTAGAAAATACGGTACTTTCCTTTTTTGCCTCTCTACCCACCTCTGCGGGTTTGTAGATTTTATATTTTCTCAATGACAGCAATAGCTTTTCTGTGAGCCGATAACACTGGACACTTCAGTGACACTGGTCCTCCACAAACTGTGATTAGGGGCATTACAACACTGTTACAGCACTATTACATGTCAGTGTGTCAGTACAGTGAGCTCAGCCAACACAGGACCCGTCATCACGAAGGGGCAGCTCTGGAGACCAGGCTGCATTCTTTTAAAAATACACTTAAGCCTGGATTAGGATCACAATTTATTATTTTGTGATATACATCTGAAATGATAGATAAATAGCTTTTGTTTCTGATATTTTCATTTGATCTTAGTAAAAGCTGCACACATTAGTTGCAGATAATCTATATTAAATCCATAGTTGATACAGTTTTTTCAAGTTGCTATCAGGAAAATTAAACAGGTCAGAAAGAGATGGCATGCTTTAGCACAGAGGAGTGAAATATTGGGTAAAATAATACAGGGTAAACGCAATTCCAATGAGGAAATATTTCAATGGAGAAAATAAAAAAAATAAAAAAAATCTGTACCACTCTATAATGACTACAAGTTAATTGGCCTTAATAAAGCATGTATAAGCCTGATTAATTCTTAATAATCTTGTGAATTAAGTCTTCATTCCTATACTCTATTATGGCTAGTAAAAGTGTATTCCCCGTCGTACTATATGTTTGATTTATTTATTGTTGAAAATATGAAAAATGTATTGGCAGTTTGCAGTACCCAACCAACAGTGCGTATATTTAATGTACTGCAAATTAACAATCACGCAATTAAATAAGGCATGTCACTCCCATCCTTGCATCTAAAACCTTTATGTGCTGTTCCCTGATAAACTGGCATTGCTGCAGTAAATAGCTCAAATCTCCTGTTTAATCAGAGAGTAGCGACTGGCTCATCCCTTGTGCCGTTACAACAGAACTCCCATCAGTTAAACGCAGCTCCATTAGCCCTGTAATGTGCTGAGCTCATGCCTTAATGTGCATTCTAATGGTGATAATAGCTCACCCTGGACGCTGCTATAGATGTGCTGCGCTTATCACAGTCATTGAATTCAAATGACCTCATGGTATTAGTCAGGAGGGGTAAAGAGGAGGGTGACACCAGTGATTAGGATATGGGAGAGCGTATGTATGAATGTATGCGGGTAGGAGGGGGTGGAGAAAGGGGGCGGGGGGGTTACCTCGTCCTTGTATTTGACGATGTAGGAGTAGATCTCGTGCAGCGCTGACATGCTGTTGAACTGGCTCAGGTGGAGGCGGGACTGCTCGGCCAAGTACGCGCTCATGTCCTGGTCGCTGATGGCGGGCATTCGGGAGATGTCCGAGTAGTACCTGGAACACGGAGGGTATAGACAATGATGATGAGATTAAGCACTCGAGTATATCAAAGTAAAGGTTGTAGTGTAAAATGGGAACAAAATGGGAAATCATAAAGGTAATCTGTATTATGCCATACACTATTCATTTTTTAAGACCATGACAGTGACTCTAAAAAGCTTGGGGTTGATAAAACGTCTAGAGATTGACCGATATGAGTTATTTCATGGCTGATACCATTTTTTATTTTTTTAAATCCAGAGCAACTGAAGCCCAATTTTTTTTGGCCAATATGTAGGGCTGATTTTTAATATTTTGCTCAAATTACCGTATTTTTCAGACTATAAGGCACACTGGATTATAAGGCGCATTAAGCAAAACAAACAGGTGACACTTGAGATTGATATCTCAACCCAGGCATCCACGATCCATTGGCAGATCGTGGCGTAATTTGCCTCCCTGTCTTGGTGAATGTTTATTATGAATGTGAATGTGGATGGATAATTTAAGTTTGGATTTTTATTTCGTACAAGGAGGACTCAAATATACGTTGAGTAATAATGTGTTTAATGCAGCTTTGTGCACATTTGTTTACGTTTTACAGAAACAAAACTTAAAACTAGATGGCTAATCTGCATAAACTATAAGTGCTGAAAAAACAGCTCGCTCCTTGTGTCCTAATGTGGTCAGCTTCTGTCGGACTAAAGAACACGACTTGCGCGAGGCTCCCGACTATGGTAGCCATAAAGCTCCGACAATCCATCAAACTCTGCAGCTTCGTAGCTTACCAAAGTTATACTAAAACATTCTGAGAACATTTCTGAGCGCCATGTACCACATAAAATCGGTTCGAGATCAGTAAGCACAACCAGAATTAATACATAAGGCGCACCGGATTACAAGGTGCACTGTCAATTTCTGAGAAAATGTAAGGATTTTAAGTGCACCTTATAGTTAAAAAAATATGGTATCGCTTTTGAATTTACTACAAACTAACTCACTATAAACTGAATACAAGAGCAGTGAAGTCACAGTCTGTGCAGTGTCCTGTAACAAAATATCGGCCTCTGTTGGAAATATAAGGCCGATAAGTAATATGTTAAAACGTGTAAATATCAGCCAGATATAACAGGGTAAATGAACTGTAATTGTGAAACATAAATACATACTTAGTTAAATTTAACATATTTAAATCATAACATAACATGATTTATTTCCAGTAAGAGCTGTCTACAATAGTTATTAGCATATGGGTAAAAACAAAAAAAATCAACATCCCTTCTGACAGAGATCAATGCAAAGATAGATAGCAGCAATTGGACTTAACTTAACCCCATAGAGGTGAACTGTGCCACTATTAATCATGCTACTAAGCGGGTTGTACAAAACACACAACCACTATTCAAGCTTAAACAGCCTGATATTACATAATACATTACTCACATGGGTATACACTAGCAGCGAGAAAGACATGGACGTATCTTGCTCAAGTATTCTGCGGGCATTGAACCACCCAGCGTCAAGTTAATTGGCAAATGTTAAACTTTTATTACATCTGGGAAGCGCTGCACTGCAAAACCTAAAATCCAGCCAAGTTAAGATGACTTGAATTAAGAAAGTAAAGCTCACAGTAAATTTCACTCCACAAGTAAAATTATCTCCCAATGGAACAAGACTTTTTGTAGTTAAAATGTGAAAATACATCTTGCTACACTTAAAATGAGAAAAACAACAACTTAAAATTAATGTTGCTTGAATTAAGATACATTCTACTTGTCAAGTTGAATCTACTCAAATAAAGTTCTTGATTTAAGTCATTTTATCTTACCTGACTTACTTAGATGTTGCTCTTTGCAGTGTGAATTCAACACAGCTAGGTTAAACTTTACTTCACGTTATGATATCTTATTTGTAGTCTAGACATGACTACACAAAAACTTTATAAAGCGCTGAAATGAGATGCTCACTTGTACCTCGACCTTACATGTATTCACTTGTTAACTACCTCCATCAATACTTATTTTTACTGCAGAGAGTCGCCCGGAGACAACTTTCTCCACTATTTACCTTGTATAGCATGGCTGACCCTCCACTCTAAATGATTTTTCCAGAGTTGAAGCCAATAAAGACTTGAGGATATATGCAATAATTAACGCGTGTTCCACCACATTATCGACTGGGAGATGCTGGCCCTATCTTAGAAGCAGGGTCCGGCCATAACCCCTCCGAGAGAACGAGGGAGTATATTAAGAACATATCCCGCTATTGACTTGTACTGTGCCCGTTTGCCGGATCTATATCTTGCAGTATCTCGGAGCGGGCTGTGGTTGGAGGAGCTGGACAGGGAATAATATAGGTTTGGAGAGGAGCAGATACACTGTATAACTGCAGCCAATTAACCCTCAGCCATAAATCTGAGTGTACGGCGCCTGGGTGCTGCTGTGGGGAGAACTGCTCGCCTCTCTCACACTTTCAGTACTTTCGGTGTAGTGAAGAGCACAGCCTGATACATCCTTCTAATACTGCTGCTGATTGTATGGCTACTGTTAAGTCTTTTAATAGTTATTTATCTTGGTTTTGATTGCGTGTTTTCTTTGATGTGCTATACACAGCAGAATGAAAAAGTTTAGTTGGGTAGTTATTCAAAACTCCCTGTACCTGTATTTGAGCAATATTTATCTTGCCCCCGTTTTCAAGTCAGACTATGTCCACTGTGTAATTATAAACCATTACACTAATCAGGAAGTGCGTGTTAACTTGCTAGTTGTTTGTTAGCTTAACTGTGATGGCAAAACTATGCTCTGGTCTCTGAAAAGTGCTCATGAACTCTAGCTGTTTTTGAAATTTGAGTTACAAGACTGACAACTAAAGGACTTTCTAAAGGCAGAAGTAAGTAGAAGCTTTGTCCCCAGTAAATATGCTTGAATCAAATATAGATTATACAAACTATACTTACAATTGCATGTAAGATTTGTTTCAAAATCTAAACCTTTTCATTTTAATGTTTTGTTTACATTTCTCAAGCTCTTGAGCCTTTCCAATAGTCCAATCTGAACACAGAATGAGCCCTAAGCTTTGGGTTGCCACATTTTAAGACCAGTCTCACATTTTAGCTGCAAGTGCAATCATTCCTTCATTCACTTTGGATCCTATTTGTAGGGACTGATTCAGCATTTTCATTTCCAATACCAATACTGACACTTTGGCTTTAAGTACCTCCCAATATCCGATGTATTCCAATACTTCCTGGCACTTATTTCCTTAAAACACAGTTAACTTCTTAAAAAATGGACCCGATTGTGTTAGGCAATAGGCTTGTGTGAATGAAGTTCAAATGTTATGAGATTCTAGGTCAAAATTAGCCCGTAAACAGTGTTATTACATCTATCTATTAACGCAAGGAACGTCTGTCTGTGTATTTGTTAGTTTGTGTGTTTGTCTGTTCCACTCATAACTCTCGAACCTCTCATCCGACAGACCTCAAATTCGGAAGGTGTCATCCTAAAAGTACGGGTGTGTGCAGTGCCAATTTTCATGTTGTTAGAACAAAAAATGTCAAAGATCTGGTAAAATGAGTGATATATTTTAAATACTAGTCCAATTAAAGGTATTATATTATGGACTAATACCTAATCCAGCCATTTTTTAAGTACTGGGTTTGAGATTTGATGCCAGTACCTATTTATTAGCATCATGTTGACAATACCATGCTGCTAATTTCTCATTTTAAAGCCTTCAGTCCCCACTAATATCAGCAGAGGGTGTAGGTCACTGTGGGTTACAGCACAGGCTTTTCCATAGTAAATAAACAATTATCCTAGAACCTTACACTTAAAATCATCACTTTTATTTAACACCTTGACAAATGTTGAGTAAGGATGACACGCACAACAGCATCAGTAGCACCTAAGACGAGGAGCGCAAAGCAAACATTGCCATGACACGCCAAGTCTATTAAAAGCTGCCTTGGAAAGCAACTTAGGCTCCCAAAAGGGAATGTGCGCAGAGACAACACTTCCTGAGTTTAGTTAAACATTGAGCTGCTGAATAAAAGATGAAGGGTGAGACAGAGGCCATTTTCATTGAGTATGCGTCTACTTTTGGAGAGGGTGTCAAATTGGTACAAATCAGACTCTTGTAAGTTATTGTACGTTCTGGTAAAGTGGGAATTCAAATGCAATAGGTGAGGCTAGTGCTAACAATACTATATCAGAAAGAATGAACACTAGTGAATTTCTATCTGGTTTTGTTGTGTTCTGGGAGCGGGATTGGGGAATATGAAAATGGCGTTGAATTTGTGGAGCTAACCAATCACAGCGAAGTGTGAATAAGTAGATAGTTTAAATGCATGCTGAAGGCAGACCAAGGGTATAAGAAAAATTTGGTTTCATTTTTTTTTTTTATTAGTCACTTGTATCTGGAAGCAGAGGTGGGACCAAGTCGTTGTTTTGCAAATCTCAAGTAAGTCTCAAGTTTTTTACCTCAAGTCTGAGTCAAGTCCCAAGTCCAATACAGGCAAGTCCAAGTCGAGTCTCGAGTCACTGGCCCATAAGTCCAAGTCAAGTCCAAGTCGTCTGCTTTGAGCTTCAAGTCATTTCAAGTCTTTAAACCAAAGTACCAAATATAGTTTAGATTTTTGCAATTTATATGAATTTTAAACTAAATTGTACTTTAAAAAAGTCATAGTATATTTATATATGCGTATTTATAGAGTATATAAGAGTTGTAGAAATGTACATTTTTCCTTTTTAAATGTTTTAACAAGATCTTAGTGTGGATCATTCCAGTCAGAATAGAAATAATTCAGAGTCTCAAGTCTTCTCAAGTCACAGGCCCCAAGTCCGAGTCAAGTCCCAAGTCAGTGACCTTTAAGTCCAAGTCGAGTCCTAAGTCTTAATCCATTTTATCAAGTCAAATCGTAAAAAATAGTGACTCAAGTCTGACTCGATTCCAAGTCACGATCTGCAAGTCCGAGCCTCTGCCTGGAAGTATAAAGATTTATTTTAGTACCTGTGGTTGTTGAGCTACTTTATAGTCATAGTAAAAGTACTGTAGTTGTATATCATTGCATTATATTTTTGTCATATTAAGTGGTTCTAAATGGTGAAATGGGTGTTTACATGATGTCTTTTTTTTTTTCTTTTTCAGGGGGAGGGAGGTGAGATTTGTAAGGAAGCAACTACAAACAACAGACAATATAATCCAATCAGATAATCAGTTGTTCAGGGAGACTGTATATGTAAACAACTGCCTGTGATGATCCCAGATAGGCTCTGTCATGGTTTAACATCATTAGAGAAAGGACTAAGTGGGCAGGGATTACAGTTCTCTATAGGCCAATCACAATGACAAAATTTGGTGTCTGATGTATTGCAACAGAAAATATAGACTTTGAACGCTGTTTTTAAAAAAAACAAGAAATGCAAGAAATAAATATAAGCAGCCCTTGAGGTCAAAATAAGTCAGCTGTATACTGTCTGTAGCTAATTCTAAAGTGTTTTTATTGTCTGGGAATCAGGAAGTGTACTCTTGCATGCGAGTTGCTGTTACCTTTACAGTGATTACAAAACCCCACTCAGGTCTCTAAAAGTTGTGAAAAGCTCTTATAAATAAATAATTAAGATGCAGAAATTACATAAGGCAACTAAGGAATAACTTTGGACCAGAGCAAACTGTTTTTAAGAGTGTCAAAAACTAAAAAACTAAAAAATGTGTAAGTATAAATGTAAGTCAATACAGTAATTATTTCAGCAGGAGGTATGTTCATTATTAACATGTTATTTACCCATAGTTAAAAATTGGATGCAGGCATTTTAAGACTATAGAACAGACTTGACTGAATACTCACCTCTCGACCCAGTTCTTGTAGTTGGGGATGTCTTTAGCGTAGAGCAGCTTGTTGGAGGGTGAATCTTTGCCCAGTTTGTGTTCTGAGGTGGAGCAGGAGTCCATGAAGGTCTGAGCCACCACAGACAGGCAGGCGTCTGTGATACTGTTCTTATGGATGTCAAAGACGAACTGAGGATTCTTTATCACATTCACCCAGAACCTCAGGGGAAGGCTGCAAATATGAAACACATCAACATACATTATTAATACTTCAATTAGGCTGAAGTTTGTCAGATTTAGTTACACCAGCATCTTTGTCCAGGTATGTTATATGTTATATGAGTCCATAACCTCTGACATGTTTGTGATTTTGTGCCAATTGTGTTGAATGCTATGCTACAGTACTGATGTTAAAGCCACAGTATGTAACTTTTCACTCTAAAAATTAGTGTTGTAGTTAAGACCACACTAATTGAGACCAAGACCTATCCGAGACCACAGGATGCTGAGACCAGGACAAGACCATGACCTCTGAGGGTCAAGACCAAGACGAGACCGAGACAAAGATCACGGCCCATCAAGACCAAATCGAGACCATCTTTGTAATTTTAGACATTTATTTGTATTTTACAGTTATTTTAGCACATACATATCAATGTTTATATAACTCTATCTCCAACTGATCACTTGTCGAGTGTCAGACCTCGAGACAGAGACAAGACAAAGTCAAAGTGCCTTCAAGACCGAGACAAGACCGAGTCCATACACGGTCGGGTCCAAGACGAGACCAAGATCTCAAAAAAATGGTCTCGAGGCTGGTCTCGAGACCAAGTGCGGTCTTGAATACTATGGCACTACTAAAAATAGACTAGAAAGTTTGTTTTTTTCTGGTTGTTTTTAATTGCACTCAAAAATATGCATCCTTTCTCTGAGCAAGCTTGCATCTCCACAAACCTCTCTCTTGTGGCCTTGCGGGGGGCCTATACACCTGCTTGTTTCCATGGTAATGTTGTTAATTTGACTTTAATCTTCCACAGTATCGCATAAAACATATCTATCTCCATAAAGAATGTTCCAAAGTATGGTTTTAACTTTCCATGGAGTCATGCAGGTTAAGTGCCAGCTCCAGAAAGTAAAGTTATAGTTATAATATTAATATAGATCAAATTATTAATCATTATTCATCTTTTATCAGGAACAGCCTCAAATGGGTGGTGAAAATCTTCTATATCACTCCCAACTTTTAATTAGAAAAACTCAAGAGAGGCAAACCACCACTGTCTTGCCTGCCATAGGAGCACAGTCTGTAAGTGACATCTGCCATATAGAACACTGTATAAGTGCTATGCCCCCTGGGTTTCATTTGCAACTTCGCACTGATTCATTTTTAATTAGTGCCTCGTGAGCAGTTTCTCTTTTTGTTAATGAAATAGTGAGTGTGTATTGTATTAGGCCCCCCTGAGACTGGAGCAGCTGACTAACACATGTAAATGAAGCTAAGTGAGGAATATTGCACAGGGATTTCAGATTTATATGCACCAAACTATTTTAATCCCACGCAGTAGCATTCTGCAGATGTGGTACAATTGATTTAATGATTGAGTTGGGACAGAAAATGTGCTATATTCAATTTAAAGAAGACATATTGTGCTTAAGCCTGATATATAGTTATTATCTACGACACCCGTGGACCATTATGTTAATTTGACATTTTGAATCACAATATGCATCTAAAATGGCTTAATACAAGAAACACATCCACTGAGTTCAGAGTTAGAAAACTCTGATGCCCTATGGGAGCTGACGCCGCTGTAAACATTACCGCAAAAAAGAGTTGTGAAGTTGTTGGCACCTCAGATGGATAGCTGCACATCACACTGGTGAGAAGCAGATTTATTTTCATTTGTACCTAAATGATTGGATGATGCAGCCAAATCCTACGCATATCACTTTTTAAAAAGATAAACTTAGAGAACAAGGTAAGTATAAAATGTAGTGGACATACAGCGGTGTGGGTGAAAACGGATTGATCAGCAGTATGTCATCTTAAAAATAAATGATTATAGATTGCTCAAACATGCACAAATACTCTAAATACAACTTCGGTAAGAGTAAACAACTATAACAAGGTTAAAATCTCTGAAAAGTGGATTTTGCATAATATGTCTGCTTTAAATAAACAAACTTTTAAAGAGGTACTTAAAACTACTGCCAATATTTGATAGGTTCAAAGAGCTTCATTATGGTATTTGAAGTTAGATATAAGAAGATTTTGTTAAGCTGTCTAGGCTTTTGTTCCGAGTTTTAATAATTATCACAGTTAAAGGCACACTATGTAACATTTCAGGTGGGGTGGGGGGGTGGTCTTCAAGGAAGTGTTTTCCTGGAGTTTTGCCTCCACAGTATTCCATTAAATTAATCTATCTTGCAATAATCTAATGTTTAAAATTATGCATTCACCATGAACTAACATGTCTCCACAGATCTGACCTGTAACTTGGACATAGGGCTGAATGATCTGTCGTTTTGTAGTGAAAATTTGGGAGCGTCAAAGCTGCGTTCTTTTGCAGTGTTCCTAAAACCCAGTTTTAAGGGTGAAGTTTAGTTCTGCTTCGACTCAACACACACAGCAGTCGTCGCCTTGTTACCTTTGTTTTTGATTTATAGATCTGTGTCGAGGTCTATGCGCCACAAAGTAATTCACCATCACAACGCGAGGCAGCAAGGATTTAAACCTGGCGTTCGTGTAATGTTTAACATGAACCATCTCCAACGCGATAGAAGCACAGAACAGACTCAGCATCAGCAGCACATCCTCAGTCACAGAAAGAACATTCATATTCCACTGAGTCGTACCTTCAGTACGACTAAAGCTGACCACATCAGCAGCACAAGGAACAAGCTTTTTTTTTTTGTTTTTTTTTTGTTGTTTTTTTCAGAGCTTATAGTTTATGCAAATAAGCCATGTGGTTTTAAGTTTTGTTTCTGTAAAATGTAAACAAACGGTCCAGCGTTAAATTGTTGGTGCGGGACTCTGGTTTGATGTAAGTTTGTGAGATGTTTGCAAATGTTCATGTGCATGAAAACTTGATTTGAAAAAAATCGTGGATGAAATCGAATCGCAATTAATTTTTTTCTTAAAATCATTCAGCCGTACTTGGATCCAGTGCTCATTCTGTGAAACATTCCAGGTAAATCATCTCCATAGAGACAAGCAGACTGCAGACCCTTCACCAGAAAAGTTACATAATGCAGCTTTAAGTCCGTGACTCACTGTACTATAGTCTGCTTGTGTACTGAACATTCCTAATCTTCACCAAATCCTAAAGGGTAAGATTTAATAATAGGCTCTGGTTTGATCCACAGAGTTTCTTTTAGGTGGAGAGGATTCTGTGAAAGTGCTGTGTTACTTTCATTGTTACTGAATTATATGGCATGAAATATTAAAATGTCACACAATTATGTAACACAGCTCCCCAAGGAGGAAGTACAAGCACAAATTACTTTTTACCATTTACAACTGTGCTTTTGAGAATTAATGTAACTATAAAAGCGTCCATGTCTACTTGTTTTGTACTGACAAATGCCTCTGCTTAGTCATAGTTTATACAGTGGGTGGAAACAAGTATGATTTCCTTTGCTATCATTTTTCTGTGTAAAAGCTTCAGATGACAGTTACAATGTCAAAAGCAAAGTTTGCTCATGTAATCAAATGCGTTTGTTGTTTATATAGGTGCCCTTTGTGGTCAGTATATGATAAATTCCAGTACAAGCACAGTTAATATGGCCAATAGTGACTCAACAAGAACAAATTCTGCTGCCAAATTTGTACTTAAAGGTGAACTAACTTTTAAGTGTAACTTTTTAGCTGGGGGTTGCTTGTTTCTATGGATATGTCATTGCTCTGCCTGGAATGTTCCACAATATGACATTAAACAGCTCTACCATTCCTTTTGTTCAATCACAAGTGGTTTTATAACTTTGGTCACATTTTCAAATAGTGCTTTTCCACCTTCAAGGCACTCTGGGGGCGAGGTAGGTTAGGTCTTGCCCAATGACACAACAACATTATTCATCTGTGGGAGCTGGAAACATACCAGCCAACCTGCGGGTCAGTGGATCTGACCGCTCAACTAATTATGTTTATGATGAGAGCAGGATTCAAATCGCCAACCTTCAGATCAAACGCTCTTACTGAGTTACTGTCGCCCTAAAAAACAACCTAAACAAAAAGACATTCTGACTGTGAGCGGTTTTGCCTTTCCATAGATCTGACCTGTAAGTCTGGTTTGGTCTCCATGATGATAGAAAGGTTTAATGCCACACTGTGAAACATTCCAGACAATAACATCTCCTTGAAGAAGCATTTGATGGACTCTCCACCAGAAAAGTTACACAATGTACCTAGTTAAAAAGTACACATGAAAGATACTATCCAGAGCACTACTATTAGTTACTTTTGAAGCTTTTTAGGTGAGTCAATCCAACTGAATAAAACTGAATTTTGTCATTTTAAATCAGAGCAGGTGATGTAAGTGTACAGAGGAGCACTTGTACAGTACTCACTGAGTAAACAAGTAATATTATTTAAAATCTTAAAATTTCACTTAAGTAAAAGAACAGATTAATGGAGCAAAAAATACTGAAGTAAAAGTATAGTAAAAGCTTTCCTCACAGATTTTGAGATCTTATAAAACTTCAATTTGTGACTTTAGTGACTTTGCCAAACTATGAATGTGTTAAAACTAAAATCCTCAGGCTTTTTAACAGGTCTCACACAGTAATAAAATATACTTTTACTTTTCAGGCCAATCCAAAATTGTAGTAGAGTAGAAAGTACAGATACCTTCTCACAAATAAAGTAAAAGAAATCCACTTTAAAATGTACTTAAGTAAAGTACTTACATAAATATTTCATTTTCTTTCTTACTGAAGTACTGTACTTTACTGCTTTTACTTTCTTACATACCACTATTGTTTAAAATGTAATGAGGTATTATTACATGCAAAAATTATACTCAATTACAACTACAAAAACAGATTTAAAAATCTACTCTAAAAGTACACTTACCAAAATATAAATTAGTTAGTTAATTCGTTATTTTTCACCCCTGATAAATGTAAAAATGTACATTAAATAAAAACACGTCTCACCAGTTGCTCTTCCATGTATGCCTGACGTCGTAGTCGTTGATGGAGTGTTTATCAGCCTGTTCGTCCAGGAAGTCAAACATGTACTTGATCGCCAGAGGGAGAGCGCTGCCTCTGTGCGCTGTGCTGAAGATGGTCTCAAAGAGGTCATCCACGAACTTCTGCAGTGTACCCTGGGGGAAAAAAACAGAAAAACGAATCAATACTGGGGAATATACTAACTGATTTCTTTAATAGGCTCTTGTTGGTTTTATTTGGGGGTTGGAATACTAGTACTTTAATCAATAACATCTTAATGCACTTTACTTTAACATGGTATTTGAGCCAGAGATCTGTCACTCACTGGATCCTCGCTGTAACTTTAGCTGTAACTTATTTTAAATCTTTAATTCAATCATCCAAGCCATGCCAATGTCTCTTGTAATTTTATCTCCACTATGTTACATTTTTGTAGGTCTGATTGGACAATTTGCAAAGTAGAATCAGGGTAAAGAGTAGGGAAAGACAATCACTATGCTATATGGAGACAGTTTGAAGAGCCTACACCAGAAAAGTTACAGAGTGCACCTTTAAGTTTAGATAGGATAATGCCACTGATAGTCTGTAGCACCCAAAACATGGTATGGAGACCTGCGAGAGTCAACTCCACACAGCCCCACAAAGAGAGCCCAGCATATTATCAATATTTTAACACTGTCCTTTTAAAGCACCTGTACCTGATTTTAAGTTGTATGGTTTGGCATTGGATGGTAAAAGCTGCTAAATAACGAAAAATCGAGACTGTTAAATACAGCGTTCACACTCTTTTTTACTGACAAAATTTCTAAACTTTTCCATGACTTTTTCCTGACCTAAAGTGAATTTTTTGAACTTTACAGCACCTACATGTGTAGAATTGATCATACTTTTAGGGCTAAATATGAAATGTTAACCCTTTCCACACTTATGGTTTGGTATTATAGTTTTTAACATTCAAAATACTGTCAGTGTATTTATTGTCGTCTCTTTTAAACAAAAGGCGCATACGTTAAAAAATAATCACAATAGCTCAATGGTAACTTAACAGAATGCTGTACTTGCATGAAAGAGATACTGAAATTCCATGACTTTTCCAAAACTTTCATTAAATTTACAAAAGTCCATGACTTTTCATGGATTTCCATGACCTTCAGAACCCTGTAAATATAATCGATTCATTTTACCTACAGTATATTTTTTCAGGTGATGAACTAATACAGTTGCTACCTTGTTTTTTCTATGTACTCTTTTAATTTCTATACTTTCTACAGCATATTTGAGTGTCATGAAAACTTCCAAAAAAATTAATTTAAAAAACAGGTTGCCTGTATTTGTTCATTCAGGCACATTATTGCTAAAAATCATGGGAAAGCAACTGTCTGACACTACTGTATACCAGACACTTGATTCTCTGTTATGGTGCATTTTTAAGAGTGACAAAATCACAAATAGTAGGCAGAGACATAAGAGCTATAAGGAAACAACTGTATGACACCATCCAGTGTGAACTAAAAGTTCAAACTAAAACTAAACCTCCTGACTGATTGTTTGAAATCAGCCTCTGTGAGTATCGGCAAGCATCTGTTGATATACCCCACAATTTATTTTATAACTGTTTTCTAGTTTCTTCGGCGTGGCTCCAAGTCATCCACAAACATCCAGCTTCTCGGATGTAGAGCGTGTTTCTGTGCAATAACAGCACTTGAACATAATTACATCAAACACAGCTAAATGAATTTCACTAAAATCACATTTGTTTCCTGACTTCTCCATCTGGCACGATCCATTACAGCATCAACGTCTGGGGAACATATTTAGTCGCGATTGGAGAGTGGGATGGATTGAAAAGTAGGAAGATCTGCAGACACAAGCCAGCGCGGAATGGCTCTCTCAATTACATTTTTGTCTCTGTTTTTTCATTATGTATGGGTTGAATTTTCCCCGCCTCACCGAAAGACCTGTCCCCCGGTTGCTCCTGTATCCCCTTCGTACACGCACCAACAAATGCATCTTGTTTTCTCTGATTACGTGGTAATGGAAAAGCTGGGATGCGGAGACACAATCTTTCACATGTAAACAGTTTTATGAATGGGGCACCACTCGAGGGCTGGGGACAGTGCTGTATGGTTACAAGGAATAAAAGTGGTAATCAATTAGAGTTTGTACGACTTGGGTGAAAAACGGATGACCCTGCGCTCGCTAAAATGTACTGCGAATGCTACGTTGTTTGTGTTTGTAGCGTGGTTCAAAGTTTTACTGGGAATTGATGTGATGTTTGTGAAGAAGTCGGCTCTTTTGAACGGTTCATTAAAGGTGCATTGTGTAACTTTTCTGGTGGAGGGTCCACCACCTGCTTGATTCGATGGAGATGCCTGGAACGTTCCTCAGTATGACATTAAATTACCTTACATTTATTCAATTACAGGTGGTTTAATTGCTCAAAAATACCTAAAAAAACTGACATTCTGACTGTGAGCGGCGTTGTCTCTCCACAGATCCGACCTGTAACTTGGTCTTGGGTTTTGTCTCCATCAAGATTTTATACCAAGTAAAATCTAAGTAATAACATATCCATGGAGAAAAGCTTTTGACGGACCCTCCACCAGAAAAGTTTTCAATTTCAGTCGGTAAACACACTTCCAGTTTGAACTATTTAAACAAATTTTGGCTTTGGTCATTTCTTCCTGTGATTACTTTGTTGATTAACTGAGTTAACACATTGGCTTCTCATATAAATAATTAGAAAAAGAGCCAGCTTTTAGAACAGCTTTTTAAAATGAAATAATCAACAAGATTCGGATTCTGTAAAAGAGCCAAAAGTACCATTAATACTAGAAACGCTACCACCAAAAGTTATTGGAGTCAGTAGCTACCTAAATATTGTACCTTTATTGTGCAGCTTGTACCTTATAATGGTGTGTTGATTAACAAACTAAATCTAACTATAGAAAGTTTGATGCAAAAACTTACACAGTGGACACAGGCAATTAAAGCAACTTGTCCCTTTACGCAAAATCTATATACTTGAAGATCTTCTTAAAGTGGCTGTACCCAATTTTTTTTCCCCATGAGTTCAGTAAAACTTTTCTTACACCATCGTAAACACAACACCTCTGGTAGAAATAAGAACACTACTGTATTGTCCGCATTTAATTATAGATGATTTTATCCTCTACGAATCAGAAAATGTGCTGTTAGTATGCTATACTTTGTTAGTTGTTGCGACTGTGATATATATATTTTTTCAGTATTAGTATCTAGTATCTGATTTTGACAAGCCTATTACATTGGTGCAGCTGAATATCTCAATAAAGGTTTTAAAAATTGCAGACTGTGGTTTTTGTCCATGTCCCAGTCTGCACTTTTACATAATTCATTTAAAAACGTGTTCCTTGCCATTTCACTAAAAAAAAAAAAAAAAAAAAAGAAAAGAAAAACTCTTATACCATTGAGACCTCACCCAGAACTCCCTCTTCCAAAGCCCACTGTTCAAAGAATCCCATTAGTCGCTTCCCCTTGTAGTTTTAAATGTCCCTAAAGTCCTTTATATAAATCCTGAGAAGTTTCCGAAAGTTTCTAGACTCACTTTAGTCGCGAGGAGCCTGGTCAGGTAGATCTCAGACACCATCTTGCTGCCCCGGTCTCCTTCGCGCTGGTCCGAGTGGTCATGGTTCTTCACCAGGTGCCACAGTTTGGTGCCGCTCTCCAGGTCTGGGGTGATCATGGGCGTCCTGGAGCGGAGACTGTCAGGGCTGCTGGCTGTCCTCAACATACTCTCTGAAAAACAAAGTACAAGTATTAGACGTGTATTTTACACACTAGGATAAACCAAACCACTATCTATGTATCTACCTACCTATCTATATTTGATACATTTATACAAGTTGATGTTATGCGTTATATTATGTATTGTGTTTTGTATTGTATGCTGCCTGAAATACGAAATTTCCTTCACGATAATAAAGTATCTATCTATCTATCTATCTCTCTCTTTCTCTATCCACCTGTCTGTCCATCTATCTATATATCTATCTATTCTCAGCACACTCTCTTTAATAGAGCCTACAAGAACATCAACACTATTACTATTCACTATTCTGCTATTTTTTATTCCAACATCAATTCAATTATAAACTTCCAAATGACTTTCAAGCATATTACCATTGCAAGTTGTTGTTGTTATTCTATACATTTATAAATCTCTTTTCTAAGAATGTGTTTTTACTGAATCTTTGATAATGCTGAAAGTCTGTTGTTGTTATGTGGCAAATGATGCTCTGAGTATAAGAAATATTTGCCTTGGGGGACAATAACTTTTATTCTATTAGTATTAGTATTAGTATTAGTATTAGTATTACGAAAGGCGAAATTGAGGACTGCGGTGCGACGACTGCAGTTTTGTGAGGATTCACAGGGTTCGGAGGGACATAGTCAAGGCGGGGGGCAATTGTTGTCAAGGCGGCCACCCTAACTATAAAGCACTGCAGGAAACACTGCCACCCCAATCATGGACAAGTTCCCTCATGAATATTAAAGAGCTGAGCTTTCTGTGTAGCTGCACGTATAGTGGGGGAAAGTAAACACACACAAATTGCATGAACTCACTCATGCCAGCCCTGCACCGAACCGAACATCCCGTACCGAAACGTTTTGGCATAAATACATGTACTGCTACATCCCTTGTACAGCCCCGCACTGACCTGCCCTGGACCCAACGCAAATTAATGAAGCGCAGGACACATTTTGAAAGCTCACTGCAGGCGCAGTGACTGCACAATGCTGGAGCAGGGTGGGTGGGATGACAAACTGCAGTCCCACAAACTAAATATGAGTGTAAAGTAGAATATACAAATGATTAATGTATGCCCATCTTGCAGGATTTGCGGGCAGGAGCGGGACTGAAAATTACAATTCTTTGTGGGGGCGGGACTTAAAATTCTGTCCCAAGCAGACCTCTAATCCCTAGTATTAGACATGCATTTTACACACTAAACCATATACATTTATGTTTCAATATTTATGAACTTTTTATGTGTTTCTTTTTTGTTTTATTATTTCTTTCATTAATTAATTATTTTATTTAGATCCATATTAGTATAGGAGAGCAAAGGCCAGTCTTCCATGCAATCTTCTACAGGGAATAGTGAGTCCAAATTCCATCACCAAATGCTCTTTCTCAACAGTCATACCAAAATCAAGTAGATATTTTATTATGTTTGGATCATACTCTTTTTTACCAATAACCTAAAGCTTTAAAATGCAGACGTTTATTAGTGCAGGCATTTTGGTTCTGTTATGTTAAATGGCAGTATGTCATATAGCTTGTTTTAGTAATTTTTTTGTCTATCCATTGTCCTTTTTTTTTTTTTCCATATTAGTACTGCCAATTTAATTAATTCAAAAAAACATTTTGCACTGTCACTTCAAATTCTCATTGCTACTTTGGGATGCCCTCAAATCCAACTTGTGTTTACACAGCCCTGCCTTTTAAATATATGTATATAACATCGAAAAGTACAGCTTGCGATGATTACATATTATTTACATATTTTCGTTGCCTCCTATCTCGCCGTGTGATTTATATGTCCCTCATAATTCAGCGCGAGTGTCGGTGTTGATTAGAAACACCGGGAGCTGCGCATTCTGTTTACCGAGGGAGGGGCGCGAGCAGAGGAGCCCAGCGGGGAGGGCGCTAGCTGACAAGCCGCTTTTAGGTCAGAGCGACAGAAGCAAAGAAGAGGAGAGGTGAGGAGGAAGAGGAGGAGGAGGAGGTATGGAGAAGTGGAGGAGATGACAGAGGACGGGGTGGGGCTAAATGGACACTAAAAGGTCAGCTCCAGCAGAGTGGCGGGGGGTGAAATGGAGAGTAATGGGTTAGAAAAGTGAATAAAGCCGAGTGGACATTTGAGTGGTAAGGGTCAGAATGGCATGGTTTGGTATAGGCGACCTCTTAAAAGGCTGGGGTTATACATAGACAGTGTACCATAGACAGCGTGATCGTAGGAATGTTGTTTGTCAATACTTTGTCTTTGATAGTAAATGTTGAATTTTATAGTTTAATACAGTTGTGATGGTCCAACTTTTCAATATTGTCTCAAAAGATTTCCAAGTATATTTTTAATGAACTAAAATTTGCCTAAACCTTCTCTTAAATTTCATGTAATTAAGTAAAATCCATTTTGACCCAGTACAGATATATTGTAAAAGCTGCTCTTAAAGATCAAATTGAGACCAATGTCAGCTGTCTGCATCTAATCAAAAAGGAAGTGCATCGTTAGCATGCAAATGTTTCTTAGCTTTCTTGTGACAGTCTGAAGAGCTGTGAAACGCTTAGAAACTCAACGTGGTGAAAAGTTAGGATGCTCTGAATATATTAGGTAAAAGGTTAGAGAAATAAATTGGAAATTTTTCATGATTTTAAATAAGTAAAATCTGGTGCAGTGACTTTAATCAGGTTAGTACAAATAAAAAGGAATTGACAAATTATTTAACCAATTATGAATAATAAAATATGAAAATTAAAACAGGAACCAAATTATGTCTATACTAGATCTGCGCTGCACCAAAACGTCTTTAAATCTAAAACTAAAATTTAAAACAAACTGCATTTTTATAGCAAAATCAAATGTGAAAACCAGACTACAATATAAGAACATATGCTACATTTAAGATTTCACAATAAAAGCCTCACTAGATTAGCTACAGTTGTTTTAAAGTCTAAAATAGCTGTAACGCACAAGAAAATCTGACTAAAACGTTTGCTAATCTGCTCAAGTTACAGCTAAGAGCTACATCCACTTTAACATCAATATATTAAAGGGACTATAGGAAAGCCTTTTTAGTGTGTTAAACAAAAAAAAAACATCATTTTTGTTCTCTCTTTTAGTAGTAGTAAATGTTAAACTCTAAGCCAATAGTGGAATATCCTACCCTTCGCTTTTAAACACCGATAATATTCTAAATCTGCACAAATGGAAAAGTGTCTCAGTCCTTAAAACCTGTCACGGTGCAAAACTCCAAATGAAACTAAATTATTCATACTCCAGAAGCCCAATGTTAAGTGTGAATGTCCGCCACTAATCACCCGTGCTTCAGTGAATGGACACAGAAAAGCACATTTTAACACTCGAATTCCAAAAGTCTAGAGATTCCTTTATATATATATCGGCCTATAGACTCATTTATCTTCTAAAGAGTTCCATTTCCCAGTGAAGTATAAGCTTTTCGACTGGGGCCTGTGTCTATCACCAGCTGCCAGGTGTCCATCCAATCTGTGCTCCATCCCTCCCTCCTCCTCCCTCTCTCTTTCTCTACTCCCTCTCTCTCTCTCCTCTCTCCCTCTCTCTCTCTGGAGGTGTCTCCTTTAATGCCTGTCATTTAGCGGCGCTCTTGGAAATAGCCGTGGAACAGCCTTGCCCCGGACTGATAGCTCTGGATAAAAAGGGATTGCCATTGAGTGAGAAAGAGGTGCAGAAGAATGGGCTCTGATGATGGTCCCATAAATAAAGAGGCAGAGAAAACACATGGGGGGAGGGAGGGTTTATAGCTCGGGACTGGGGACATTTTTGTAGTGAACCTTGGAGTTCAAATTGCGACTGCTTTTATTTTATTATGTATTTGTTTTTTTACTTATATTTGGGCTCTAAAATATGTACAGCATGTTTAAAAGAATATGACACGTATGCAATTAAAATACAGCCATGCCCAAACAATCTGAGTACTGCTATTAAATTTCCTCTAATACTAGTACTACTACTATTACTATTACTGCTACTACTACTACTATGATTCATCTATCATTCGTTCATTTGTTTTTCAAAATAAAACTAAAAATAAGGAAACAAAAAAAAAACCAACAACAATTTTCTTCATTATTTGTCTTCAAAACCAAAATGAAAAAAAAAACAAAACAACGGATAACGATTCCTCAGTTTTCGGTTTTGAAAAAATGGATAACGGACGTTTCCCATTTTCATGACTTAAACTATGATGCCGGACTTTTGCGCCGCATACGGACTGAACCAGGACTGAATCAAGACTAAAACAGGACTGAACCAAGACTAAAACAGGATTAAAACAGTCTCAGTCCTGGTCTGGTTGTGGTCTCAGTCTTGATCTCAGTCTCGATCTCAGTCCTGGTCTCAGTCTTGATCACCCACCAATGTACGTGGGCGCACCTCCGGGCCCGTCCCGACACTCAGTCCTGCTTCAGTCCTGGTTCAGTCCTAGTTTAGACCTGGTTTACTCCTGTTTTAGTCAGGTTCAGTCCTGGTTCAGTCCGTATGCGGCGCAAAAGTCCGGCCTCGCAGTTTAAGTCACAGAAACGAGAAACAGCTGTTATCCATTTTTTCCATCATTCAAGCACAAAATCAAAACCTGAAAAAATTCATTATTATCCATTTTTTCATTCTGTTTTTGTGTTATTTTTTCGTTTTCTTATTTTTGGTTTTATTTTGAAAAACGAAAGAACGAATAATACATGGATTTACTATGATTAACGGCTATGATTAACCCAGCAAGACAGCGCTACTACTCAAATGTTGTAAAGGTTGATATGACATGTATGTAATTAAAATAAAGGCAAGTCCAGAACTATTTGGGTATTGCTCTTAAATTTCCACTAATACTAGAACTACTGCTGGTTCTACTGCTACAGCTACTACTACTACTACAATATACTACAAATGATTGGGTGTACCATATCTGCTGAGGCTCTTGGTGAAGGTGGAGGAGTTGGAGATGTTGTAGGCAGAGTTCTGCTTTGGCACCAGAGCGATCACCGAACCATCCGTCACCTAGAAAGACAAAATACACAAAATATGATTATTATTTCATTGAATTAAAAAAATAATATTTCAGACACAACATTTCACTTTCATATACCTATAATCAGTGTCAACAGATGATGTGATATTTGTTGATATTATGTTTTTTGTGAAGGCAAAATGTTGTGTTTTTTTTTTTTTTTTTAGGTCAATAAAGATTAGATTTAAAAAGATTTTATTGAAATAGGACTTTTTGGACACTGAAAGACATTAATGCATTGTGTCACTTTTCTGGTGGAGGGTCCGTCACCTGCTTGTTTCTACGGATATGTCATTGCTCTGCTGAAATGTTCCACAGTATGACATTAAACAGGTTTATGTTATATTCATTCAATTACAGCTCAAAAATACCTACAAAAACAGATATTCTGACTGTGAGAGGGGTCGCCTCTCCACAGATCTGACCTGTAACTCAGCCTGGTTTGGTCTCCATGAAGATAGAAAGCTTTAATGCCATACCGTGAAACATTCCAGACAAAGTAATAACATCTCCTTGAAGAAAAGCATTTGACAGACTCTTCACCAGAAAAGTTACACAATGCACCTTTTACATTTTGAGGACTTGAAGGGCAAATTCAAATTATAATAATATTCGTTTTGAATTCTAATTTTGTATTATTCTGAAACCCATGGATATATTTACTACTTTTTAGTATTAGGTTTATGTTTATGATAAATTCCCTGATACTAGAAATGTATTATACACTTTAAATATCTGTTCAATCACATAAACCTGACTACTTCTTACTACTACAAATGACTACTACTACTACTACTACTACTACTACTACTACTACTACTACTACTACTACTACTACTACTACTACTACTACAAGAGGATGTCTTTTTCATTATGGCGTACCTGATAGTGGGCCAGAGTGTTGAGTCTCTTCCAGTCATTGTCGATCTTCGTGGTGACATCTTCGTCCTGGAGAATGATCCGTGCCATTCGACCCTGACGCCATTCTACAGTCACACAAAGCAGTCTTACATTAAATATACTAATGTATGTAGTGTGCTCTCAAGGTCAGGTGAGACGTCACTCCTCTATTCTTGCAAATGAAGTGTGGGATTTTTAAATGTGTGTTAGCACAGTGAACGTTTTTATAACACAAAAGGTGTTGGAGATATTATTATGTATATGTTTAAGTAAGAATAGGGGAAAAAAAGTGCAAATATTAGTTTATTGGCAGAACTTTTTATTTTGTTTCACTGATTTAAGGTGGATATAAAATAATGATATTACATACATCAGTATGGATGATGAAATGATTTAAAAGTTTAAAACACTATAAGTTATTACCTTTATTACAACTCTCTACTACTACTAATGGAGCTAACGTAAATTCAGCCGGGAAGACCTCATTTCACTCCCGTCTACTTCATGTATGTATGTTCATGTATCTATCAATCTATCTTTATTTTTTTTATTTATGCAGTTCAATCCCAATCGTTATTGTTTTATTGATTGGCACAATTAAAATTATTTGGTAAATTCAATAAAATTTGAATTGTAATATGAAGGTGCACGATGCAACTTTTCTGAAGTCCATACTTGTCTCGGCTTCCTTTGTTGTTGGAATATTCCACAGTATGGCATTCGACTTATATCACCACGGAGACTTAAAAAAACTTGCTTTCTTGCTTGCCATACTGTGGAAAACAACAAGTCGCACAGTGCACCTTTAAAGGGCCCATATTACGTTTAAAAACAAAACAAAAACATCTGTGTACTAATGTTGTTTCCTCATCAAAACCAGTTCTATTTTGTTTCATTCACACGTTTTACACACAAATCATTAAATATATTCAGACTGTGTTTGTCTCTAAAACTGACAAATGTGTGAATGAAACAAAACACACCTCGAGGCTAGTTTTTCAGAAGGTAAGATTATAACATGGCTTAAAGCTCACAAGAGTATTTTTTGTGTAACATCGGCCCTTGAAATTGACCAAAATGTGAGTAGTGTTCTGTTTTTCAGTTTGTATACTTGGACAATTTCTACCCACCCAACTATCCATGTATGTGCGCCCTTAAAAGCAGGCTGCACTACTGTTTTTTGGATGATGATTACACTTGATAGTTCTGATAAATGTAAGTTGAATGCAGTTTGTATTACCCAGGTCCATGTCAGACGCCTTGGGCCTCTGGGAGTAGGGGCTGCCCTTGTACACAGCATCCAGCAGCTTCTCTTTGACCTGAGTGATGGTGTCACAGTTCAGAGCCTTCACCGTCACCTCCGATGAGTTCTCGTTCTCTGGGTTCACACAGTGCAGAGTCTGAAAAACACATGAAGAATTAGGTGGAGATGGTAGACAACTATAAATTATTGCAAGATGGTTTTATAGTTCAACAGTCCAAACATATCATGCCATTGTGACTAATATTAAAGGGCCCATCTTATGCTATTTCTGATCTCAGGGTTCCCACTCTTTTTCACTGACAAAATTTCAAAAATTTTCCATGACTTTTTCATGACCTAAAGTGAATTTTTAATGACTTTATGGCACCCTACATGTTTACCCTTTCCACTCACCTTATGGTTTGGTATTATAGTTTTTAACATTCAAAATCCTGTCAGTGCATTTATTGTCGTCTCTTTTAAACAAAAGGCGCATACGTTTGGAAATAATCATAATAGCCTAATGATAACTTAACAGAAAGCTGTAGTTGTGTGAAAGAGAAACTAAAATTCCATGACTTTTCCAGGATTTCCTTGACTGTGGGAACCCTGTAATCTATGTTATAATGTTTCCTCCTCAAAAACATATCTGCAGTTGTGTTTTGTTTCATTCACACATGTTTAGCGCAAAGACCCTGCATATTCCGGCTGCGTACAGGAAGTGTTCCACTGTGATTTTAAATTCCATACACCTTCACTAGAATCATTTGGATGTTTTCAGCCCTGGAAACGGCAAACTCTATTAAACTAAATGTAAAAGGTCACCATTAGCATGAGGGGGGTGGGAATAAAGTTTTCTTCTTCTCACTCCTTTTTGGGCAATTATTTTGTTGTTGTGGTTATTTTTATTATGATTTAAATGTTCGATTGTATAAGAATGTAAATCTCTTACTTGCTTAAAATAAATACATAAATAACGAATATTAATAACTTGAAAACTACTTCACGACATCACAAGGTAGACAGGTAACAGAGCATTTTGGAGATGTAGACAGACTAATAATAATAATTTGAATGAAACAAACACAACTACAGGTATGTTTTGAGGAATTAACAACATTGTAACATGGCTTAAAGCACCAAAGAACCAGCTTTGTGTAATACAGGACCTTTAAAGGTAAAGAAAACCATACATTTTGCTATTACTTTTGTGTATCCATTGTTTTTGAATCTGACATTTCCTGACAGCATTTTTCCACCTAGCTCATTTGCAGATGTTGTCATTGTTTGTGTTGGTAATGGCTCAACATTTACAACTGGGTGAAAACCAGGACTGAGCTGACAAGTGCCTGTGTGAGCCCCATCCAGGTCTGAGTGCTTTGTTTGGATGCGAGGACACCGGCCAGAAGCAACGGCCACTCCAAACAGAATCAGGAGGCAGGCCAGTTAGTGCGGATGCCCTCCCGCGATGAAACAGCACGAGAGAATGGGCATGCGGAGGGTTTTGTGTAGTGATTTTGACACATGATGAATGGACTGACCAGTGTTTTGTAGTCTATCTGCTGTCGGATGAGTTTGTCCTCGCTCAGGGAGTAGCGGGCTTCTCCGGTGATGGCGTCGATCGGGCCCTTCTCCATCTGCTGCTTGATGGCACAATACAGCATGAACAGGGGCTCTCCAGCACACTCCTGAAAAAAATAAATAAATAAATAATACAATTAAAAACTTAATACATTAAAAAACATGATATTTTCCTTTTTTTTTTTTTTTTTTTTTGGTTAAGCTGAATTTACCAGCATTCATGTCCTCATCTGAAGGAACAGAATCAACTACACAAGCTCGGACCTGCTGTTTCTCCACACACGGGGAAGCTCTCTGAAGCCTTCTATTTTAGATTCCTGGTTCACCATCCAGTTCACTTCATTCACAGCAATTTTGTCAAACTTTCAAACTTTAGAATATTACTTTGTCTTACTGCTCACTTTTGAAATAATAGTAATAATAAAACATAAGCAAAAAGGTAAACTATACTACCACTGTATTTTTCTGACTATAATATGCAATATCAATAATGTTGAATCCTCTCGTCTATTTTCATACATAAGGCGCACCGGATTATAAGGGGCATTAAGCGAAACAAACGGACAACACTTGAGACTGATCCCTGATACCTACCTGAATGTGAACATGGGTGGATAATTTAAGTTTGTTTGTTTATTTCCTACCAGGAGGACTTAAATATACATTGAGTAATAATGTGTTTAATGCGGCTTTGCACACTTTTGTTTATGTTTTACAGAAGCTAAACTTAAAATCACATGACTAATTTGCATAAACTATAAGCTCTGAATAAGCTTGCGCCTTGATCTTCTGATCTTCTGTCGGACTAAAGGACACGACTCAGTGGAATATGTGTGTTTCTTTCTGTGATGAAGGTGACAGCGGCATTGTGCATTGAGTCGATGCAGAACTATACTTCGCCCTTTACTCCTGACTACGGTAGCCATAATGCTCAGACAGTTCATCAAGCGGTGCGGCTTCATAACTCGCCAAAGTCGTACTAAAACATTTTGACAGATTTCTGAGTGTCGAGTACTACATAAAATTGGTTCGAGGTCAGTAAGCACAACCAAAATTAATACATAAAGCGCACTTGATTATAAGGCACATTGCCAATTTTTAAGAAAATTAAAGGATTTTAAGTACACCTTACAGTCCAAAAAATACAGTGCTACTCTACTACTACAATGATAAAATATACAGGAACACATCACTCTCTGCCAGGACCATCAGAACGGCTAACAGCATCCCACCAATGAAACTACTGCACATCACATCAGATTTGTTAAGTTGCTGTATACAGTTAAGTATCAGGGTTTAAACAGAGATCACAAAATGACTGAAACATGCATGGGTGACATGTAAAACCTTTTCAGGCATATTTCTGTGGAGGGAACACCGTTATAACCTGGTAGAAAGCTCAATCTAAATGAAAGAATATCACACCTTACATTTTATTAATTTAATCATGTTCACTAGACAGTAATGTAAAACTAATGCAAATGTGAATACACCCTTAAACATGACTTTTTGCACCATCTTTTCCGAGCGTGCCTGTTCAGTCCACTCTTCCATAAAGCCGCTCAGCACTCTTTCTCATTGGCATTTGCAGCCTTCGTGACCAGACACAGATGTTATAAATATGTTTTCTTCTCTGCTTCCGACAAAGTCACTTGCCATTCAATAGGCCCATTAGTCTGTGGATGAGCTCAAGGAAAACAGTATGGAGTGAAGTAGCGGCCGTGTATAGAGGGCCAGCACAGGTTTAATGATGAAACGTATGGGTGGAGAGGAGAGAGGGGACTCATTTATCAGTCTCACCTTCAAGCACTGCCCCCCTCTGTACACAGTGACTCCTGTGTCCTCTGTAGAGACAGCTGTAACCGCGGTAACCCTGTCCTCATGGTTCATTATGGTATTAAACATGTATGAGGAGATTTGTCAAATTGCATCATGTTTTCACAGGAGTTCATAGCAAAATTATACTAGTGTATGCTTGGACTGGGCAAAAAAGAAAACAAAGAGTCCCTCATGTTGGTTGATTGCAATTTTCAATTACATTGAATGTTTTGTTATTGAAAAAACTTGGGTTTCAATCTTACTTTCATTAATGTGAACACGGTAGTATTTAATCAATGCAATTCAACCCCTCAAAAAAGTCCAATTTATTCCTAAAACATACAAACTCTGGCCCTAATTAGCTGTAAATATCTCCATAAAAACACCCTTAGGTTTATCACTGAAAGTTTGAAATGATTGAATCTTAATTTGTTGATAATTTGAATAACTCTTATTCTTCAGTGTAGTGTATAGTATTACCGTACTATACAAATACTATAAAAGTAATTTAGTTTGACCAATCGGTGAAATATTATAGGCTATTTATTAATGTCACTGGCCTTGCATAAATAAGAAGTGATCATAGCATAACTGTAGGATCATGCATATTTTCTTACTGAGCCTATTTACTATTTTGGGAACCGTTTATTTACTGCTACTCGATTAGTTTCAAGTATGGTTTCCTTTGGATTCATAATAATTAAATAGATGTTAAAAATGGTTATATAGTTTGGTAATACTTTATACACTTACACCTGAGCTAGCCTCAATAAAGCATGGACAAGGTTTTTATTAATAATGTTTATGACAGCTTATGATGAATGATTCAGGCTTAGTAACTTAATTAAGAGGGTAGGAGTTAGGGCAATGATTCCCAACCTTTTTCTCCCATTGACCCATATTTTACCTGTGGATATATTGGCAACCCAAACATCATTCTCCTACCTGATAATCTACTATTTTATAAGGAAACATATATTTATTTTCTTGATGTTATAGGACAGTAATGATTATAAAATACTTAAAAATAAATAAATAAATATTAAGATGTCACCTCTTCATTTAAAGTCTTAAGAATTACAAATCATTGTGGACAACCTGAGAATCTTTGGGTGATACCTATAAACTTTCACTGTATAATCTGTCTATTACAACAAATACACCACAGTCTACTATTTTACCCTATAAGAAAATACTTGACTTGATTACAAAAAGATATTGTGACTTTAAACTGATAGACAGCCTATGTGTCTTCTTCTCCACCCGGGCAGAGTGCGTGTGAGGACATCTGTGGCACCGCTGCCCCCTGCTGGGACACATGACCTTAAGGCGCAGCCGGAGTTGGACTCACGGCCCAGTAATGACAACAGCAGCTCTGCACTTCAAAAGGAGATCAGAGAGACACACCGTGTGGGCTCAGACGACTATATAAAGCTCCCATACAGGACCAAGGCACAAGACACGCACGGATGACTGGAGGAGAGGAGCATATGAGGCCAGTCTTTTAATAACTGCAGATATGAATAAAACTTGGGATATAATAGGAAGATAAGGACGTAATATCTAATAGGAATACGTTTATTGGGACCATTACTCAGCTGGAATGTAATTTAAGTCCACTCCTGGTTCCAGTGTTTCCATTAGCCTGGACTAAACAGAGAAAGTTAATAGTACCTTGAGGAACTTGTATAACAGGAAGGTGAACCAGTTGGTCAGCATCTTCTCTGCCACAGACTCGGTCCTGAAAGAAGAACAGATGGAAATAAAATGTTAAATTTTAATAGTATTATAAATTTAGCAATAAAGGCTCACTCTGTAATTTTTATTGCTGGTCTGCCAACCTTCTTGTCTCACAGGAGATGTTATTGTTACTTATAGGATTGTTCACAATATGGCATTAAACTAAACTATCTTGTGCTTTCACAGGGGTGACAGTGGCTCAGTGGTTCGAGCATTGTCCTCCAACCTGAAGATTGGACAATTGATTTCCACTCAGACAATGTTCTGTCAGTGTGTCCTTAAGCAAAACACAGCTGACTGCACAGGTTGTCAGCGCCACTTCCATCAGTCTATGTGTTTTGCTCAAAATCTGCATTCTTATTGTGAGTGGGGTCACCTTTCCACAGCTCTGATCTGTAACTTGTTGGTGTCACCAGCTTATCTTCATAGACCTAGAAATACTTATTACTATGGAACATTCAAGGAAAAATATCTCCATAGAGACAAATAGTACCCTCAGAAGTTACCGTATTTTCCGCACTATAGGGCGCAAGTAAAAGCCTTTAATTTTAATGAAAAAACAACTGCGCACCTTATAATCCAGTGCGCCTTATATATGAATTTATTCGGGTGTCTTAGTACGACTTTAGTAAACTACAAAGCCGCACCACTTGCAGTATTATGGCTACTGTAGTCAGGAGAATCGTGGCGTAATACATACTGTGATTCCTTTTAATATCAAAATACCACCTGTCAAGAGACACGCTTACAACGCCGACTTTAACCTCAAGGCTATTATAAAGTTAAACTGTGAGCTGCGTGGGAGCAGTGGATGAGAGAAGGCAAACACACATTCACCAAGACAGGGAGACAGCGCCGAGCGACTTACGCCATGATCTGCCAATGGATCATGGACGTCTGGGCTCAGGATCAGTATCAACTGTGGTCTGAGCTTTCACAAAGACTAGAATCATCCCTGAACTGCCAGGGAACAGTGACGACACTGACTCGGATAATGACGAGAGGGATGCGGGCGTAATCGTAATAGTGCCGTAATTATGAGTCATTGTGAATACGTTAACAATTTAGTGGTCTCAGATAGTATTTTTTTTTTACGCGTTACAATTGAACAAAGTTGAGAGTTATTGTGAACGCATTAAATAAAGTTTGACTGACTTATCTAACTGTTGTGTTTCGTTTAATGCGCCTTTTAGTCCGGTGTGGTTTATATGTGAAAAAAGTTTGAAAATAGACCATTCAATGACGAGTTATAATCCAGAGCGCCTTATAGTGCGGAAAATACGGTAAATAGTGCACCTTTAAACAAACATTACTACATATCACACTACTACGTGGAGATATGACCCATCGTGCTTTCATTCACATATTCTTGGCTCTATCTTTCTCGGTAGGGCCCAAGAATATCAGTTTAGCAGCTGTTTTTTGTTGATAGCTTGACAACATTTGCTGGTCCAGGCGTCCAAAAACACAATGACATTTAGGCCAAAGTGTATAAATCTGTGTAATTATTTTTTGCTATGTGCCAATTTGTTAAATCGAACAGCAGGGGTGGACCTTTACTGCAACATTACTAAGACCATGCAAGAAGTTAATTGTGTGGGTAGTAATTAAGAAAGTGCCAAAAGGTCAACTCAATATACGCAATTAAACCGTGCTTTCACGCCGCTTTTTAAAACTTGAATAATTGTTGTAACAGAACAGTACACTGACTTTATATACTCTATCCAAAGGTGTCTAAAAATATCTTTATGTTGTGTAGTACTTATGGAGAAGTTTGTGGCATCATTGTGAAAGTGTCAGGAGAAGCGAGTCCCTGTCGTCTAAATAATGCCACAGTCTGGATTATGGACAAATCCATTCTCCCACAGTCTCAGGGCTTATGTCTGCAGGGCTGCCAGCTCATGTGAGGAGGCAGTGGGCTTCGCAGGAAATGTCACTCGGTAACAACTGAATACCAAACATGAGATACGCTTTCACTGGAAAATATATTCAGTGGTTACAGCAAGTTCATTTTGCTTTTGAAAAGTTTTGAAGATGTTTTATTTTACAGTATCCTGCAGATTTATTATACTGTTTGTATATGTGGTGTTTTAAAAACAATTGTGATGCCTCATAGTTAAAAATTAGCGTTAGTAAGGAGATAAACTCACTGACTCAGTGTCCACCACTTCATCTTTCATTAATTATTTTGTAATATTAGCATGACTTGGCAAAAAACCCATAGAGATTAAACTGGACAGGAAGTAGTGATGCAAACATGTGAGCTAGCCATTGTTCACAGAGGTAATTGTCTTAGTGTTCCACAGATGTGAGTAAATCTGGTAGTGAGGTTAACCGTAAACTCACTGAGGCTGATTATAATTTTTTTTGTAATTAAGATTACGTATTCTGATGGACCAGGGTTGAGGAAAAATAAGTTTTGTTTTCAGCTATGAATTGGAAATCATTTATTGTGAGATAAGAAAAGTTGGAAATGTATTAACCCCAGTTTACAACAAAAGCAGAAACAGAGCATAAGTGTAGCAGCATTTCCATTTTAACCGGTTGGACAATTTACACCAACAGTGTCATACGTGCGTCCAATGGCCGTCTACGCACCGCTCAAATTAGGTTAGAGTTCTAATTTTTCAGCATCAACAGAGCATCTACAGACTTTTTAGCGTTGCCCAACAGTAAATAAGTAAGTGGTATCAAAATAAACTTCTGATGCCCTTTCAAAATACGTTTTCTAAAACCACTAGAGTCACGTAAACACCATGGCTGTAAACTACAAATTTTACAGCCATGGAGGAAAAATAAACACTTTTCTACATCAGACAGCAATTTTACAAGAACAACTTCTGAAGGAAAAGGTGCATGGTGCAGACAACTAAAGCTAAATAATGAGTCGCTTAATTAATGCGAGCACCGCAGATACGACTTGTCATTGTTGCAAAGTATCGTCTCTCTTGTTGCCAACTTTTGTTTTGTGATTTAAAACATAATTCATCCAATCAACAAAAAATACATAAACAATGTAAAATACTTTTAAAAGTATGTGCGTATGCAGCTCAACGTTACGTGTCGCTGAAGCCCCAGGTATAAATTCCAGGTTATAGTTGTCAAGTCGAGAAATTGTGAACAGATAAGTCAGTAAATCTATACATTAAAGATTCACCATGTTAACTTTTCTGGAGAGTCCATGTCTGGCTTGTTTCCATGGAGATGTTATTGCTTTACCTAGAATATTCCAGTATGGCACTAAACATATATATCTCCATGGAGGCAAGCAAGTGGCACCACCAGGACAAGTTACAGGTCAGATCTGTGGAGAGGCAAACTCGCTCACTGTAAGAACGCACACTTTTCAAAATGACAATAAAGCAACTATAGCTGAAGATGCTACATATTTAACACCATACTGTGGAACATTCCAGTCAACGTAATTACATCTCGATGGAAACCAGCAGGGGACAGATCTCCCATAATAAAAGCTATATAGTGCTTCTTTAAGTAGCTTACGAAAACAGATTATTATTCGATTCTATTTCTTTTACTTTCAACAAATTTCAGTGTGACTGTTTTACACTGACCTCCTGAGCAGTAGTTTGGGATGGTTCTTGCTCTCCAGGTTGCGGTCGATCAGGTCGGACAGGAGCTGCTTTAGGACCCCCGTAGCGTACTCCATCTCCCCCTGCAGAGCGGTCATGATGAGGGAAGCCACGTTTCCTCTGTCCCGCATGGAGAAGGACCTGCATCATAACACAATGCATACACGTTATTAACACTTAACATCAATATTTAATCTGCTCTATGTATCTGCCGCTACTATAACGCATCTATTTTTAATCGCTATGGACGTAATCATTTTGAAATATGTGTAAAGTACATGTTATGGGCTATTCGGTTAAGGGCTTCATGGTGGTTTAATGGGAAGAATTGCACATTTACTTTAATTTCAAAACAGTTTAGAGAATATACGGAGGTATAAAAAGTATTATTTGAGATACATTATTGATAAAGTCATGAAGTATTCCTATAAGTGTCGTTGTCGTCTAGACCCTTGATTTTAAACCAGCGTGCAGTTGTACAGGAGTGGGCCTTGTGGGATTGCAGAGTTTGCCTTGAAAAAAGTCCAATACCAGATTATTTATTTAATATACATGGTCATTAAATGGAGTAATTTGGCATTTTGGAGAGACTTGGATCAACATCTGATCATAAAAAAACTCCCAATCAACATTACCACTACACAGAGTAAGAATATATGATGGAAATAAACCTAGTCTTAACTATTAAAATATGTCTATGTAATCCCCAAAATGTTCAACATTATTTTGCTTTAGTTTCAGAAAGATGATTAGGACAATTGTCATAGCAATTAACAATTTAAAACCATATACAACTTCTCAAAATGGTTGCTATAACAGGAGGCTTGAAACCCATGCAAAAATGTAATGTTAGTATAGTTTTGTTATGCATTGAAATAATGAATGCAACAATGTAAGCTGCCATTTGTATTGTTCCAAACACCTTATATATTATATTGTTGTCCAGTTCCCAAATTCAAACTGCTGTCTCTTCAACTAAACTTAAATCCCATACAGCAAACTTGAGCAAACTCGCAGAAAGCAGCATTTCTTTCCTGTATTTCTAGTTTATTTTGGTGACAGACCTTTGAGCCTCCAGGGTACGGATAAAAGTCAACAGGAAGTGCTTCTTGGTGAGCAGCTGGCCAAACAACGTCAGAGCCTTCTCCACATTCGCTGGAACCTGCACAACAGAGACCACAAGAAACAAGAAATGTGTTACATTTAGTTTCTTATGTGAAAATCAACTAAACAGAAGAATAAGCACAGAGCAAGGCATTTAAGTCTGAATTGTGAAAGGGACATTGACAAAAAGTTGATCAGAAACTGCAAGATGTATCATGCAATGTTGTCTAGTTTGTTCTGTTTTAGTCCTAACTGAGACTTTGCAGCTGATGTTATCAAAATTCCCTGCAGATCTGATGCTAAATGCAGGACCCTCTCTGTCTGAGGCTTTGTCAGACTTTAATCTGAGTTCTATTTTAAGACAATCTGATCATGAAGACCTAACTGGGGAAACTCTAACAAGTGAGATGATTTCTGCTGTTCAACAAGTCTCTCTCAAATAACATTACAGTCACAAGCTTGCTGTTTTTCACTTATTCACGCTCACCTTTTTGTTGAAACTCAAACAACTAAACTTATTTTTTTCCTTCCTTGAGTTCTCTGACAATCTAAGAATTTATCAGGTTGTTTTTGAGAATGGGTGTCACCAATCTGACCGCTAAACATTCCACCATAGACATACATGCAGACCACCCCCAGCATGACATTACTGCAAAGTATCAATAGGTTGACTTAACATGACGTCACAATATTCAAGGATTCCTTTAGTCTAAATCTGAGTTAGAGGAAAAGTTTGACAACAACTGTACAACAACTCACCCTTATGTAACAGATAATACTCCCTACAACTGTACAACAACTCACCCTTTGTAACATATAACCGTATGTCCTGTCAGTCATCATATCATTGTTGCACTTACTTCCTATGACCTCTTGTATATAGCTGAGTTTTTATATTTTATTACTTATGTTTTCATTTTATTCTGACTCGTACATTTACATTTATATAATTATGTTTATATAGTTTACGCTTTCTTATTATATTATATTGTGATTAAATTGCTTTTGATTGATTGATTGCTATTGTGTCTAATACTATGATGGAATTTGTGGTTTTAATGTCTCAGATTTGTTGACCTGGTTAATGGTTAATATTTCTGTAATTACTGGGCCTATCAAGAAATACCGGAACAAAGTGTAACATTTTCTCTTGTCAGTATAAATAAGTACATATAAGTCAGGATAAAAAAAGTATAAATAAAAGCAAAATAATTCTTTTTTCCACCCTTAGTTTCAGATAGTGTTGCCATTATTCAACTGTAAAGACGTGATCGTTGTCAGTTGAAACGACATTGAACCACAAGATTAATATGACAAGTTTCTCGAGCCAATCTCTAACAAATCATGATAAGATTCAAAGTTTGTCGATGAGAAGTTTGGATACTTATTTAAAAAAAAATCATGAACATAACTTATTTAGATACAATCAATAACAATCTCTCAACTGCGAAGAGGAGAACTGAGCTGGGATGGCGTGATGCTCCTTTGCACAGTATAGTCTATGGAGGATTTCTATCTAATCTAATCTAATCTAATTATTAACCCTCATGTTTATTAGAACGCTAATTTAAATCAATATGCCAAACAAGCTGTTAAAACCATGCAAAATGTGATGTTATAGATTTAATTCAACTCTCCAGGTGTTAAATCCATCCTGGAAACAGCTAAGACTAACAAGCGATCCTGGCCTCACGCAGAGTTTAAGATGGAAGTAAAACCAGAACAGAGTGCTCTGATTGGACACCACTGGATGCCATTTTAACACACAATCTTTTCCAATGCATCTCTCAGTCTTCGCAATCCTATACTCGCAAATCAGGAGTTAATCACAGAGTTGACATTTACAGCAGAGATGTTCTTGAAGAAGAGTTGTCTAAAGTATTGAAAATCAGACACTAATCAATTCTAAAATTATGTAGTATCCAAACTAGGTACTCATTTGAGCAGGTATCGATACCAAAAATTCACATTCACAGGACAAAAGTGAACCTTTCCTGAACAGCTTTAGAATAAGTATAAGAGCAAATAGACTAGTATACGCCCACGGACCACTATGGAACCTACCTGGGCGACTGAGGGTTTACCGTATTTTTCAGACTATAAGTCGCACTTTTTTCATGGTTTGGGTGGTCTTGCAACTTATACTCCGGTGTGACTTATAAATTAAAATTTTCACACTGACAGCTGCGAGAGGGCGCTCTAGGCTTGTGTGCCAGTATCTGCTACTTCTATTACTCCTGTACTACTGTCACTTGGCTCTACTGCGCATGTCTCCTGCAGAAAGAGTCTCTGTCCTGTCTGGGATCATGTCAGCCGTTCACACTATTACTTCTGTACCAGTGAAAATTTAAACAAACTTATAAAGACAACTGAGGAGAATTAACATAAATGCCCCCAAAAAGAAAATCATATTTTGCAGATTATAACTTGCAAGTAGTGAAATATGCAGCCGAAAACTGTAATCTAGGAGCAGAAAGAAAGTTTGGAGTGAGCAAGAAACTTCTGACACCGGGAGGGTGCGTCATGCAACTTTCCTGGAAGTCATTGGTTGGATTGACAAAGTATGGACTTCAGTGACAACTGAAACCATCCTGTCGGGATTCAGAAAGGACGGAATAACTCAATGGAAATGATGTTGAGTCTGATGACAGCTACGCAGAAGAGGAAGTGGCACTCCATTTACCTCTGGAGGTCACGGAGTTGCTCAGAAGTGACACCGAGGATGAAGAATTCAGTGGATTTTGTGATTTGGAGTGAGATAGAGAGTTTGGTAATATGTTATGTTAACAGTCTGTTGTTCTCTGTTCTATTGTTATTACTATAACTTGCATTTCAAGATGAAATGTCGGTTCCTGTTCTCTGATTTTATAAAATAAGTTTCCCCCAAAAAGTGTGACTTGTAGTCCGGTAGATGTTTTTTTCTTCTTTATTACACATTTTTTGGCTGGTGCGACTTATACTCCAGAACGACTTATAGTCAGAAAAATACAGTACACAGATTTAAAGGTTGTATAGAGGATTTTCCAAGGAACGAGAAATCCAGCGACTGTTTGTCCTTTTTCAAATGTTGCGCATGCGTGAAACCACCCCCCCTCCCCTACAGCTCCCTACGTAGAAACGCCTTCTCCCGCCTCCTCACTACGCCAGAAACAGGTTTGTTTACAGCCGGTGAGCTGCACATGACTTGTAAACAACTAACTACAGTGTTGGTTAGGCAAGGCGGAGAAGTGAGGAGCGGGGGGAGCGGGTGTGCGGACATTTCGTTCGCGGACGAGAAGTGAGGAGCAGGGAGAAGAGCGGAGCAGGGAGAGAGGAGAGAGGAGAGAGAGAGGAGAGGGCGGTGCGCGGAGATTCCGTGCCCGTAGAAGTGAGGAGAAGGGGGAAGAGCGGAACGGGCAGCGGGGACAGGAGTAGGAAAGGGGAGCAGAGAAGGTTGCGCGGAGATTCAGTGCGAATGAACTAGCTACAACACGCAGCAGCAAGCGGACTCTTTCTTTGCCTTGAAAATTACGTTTTCAGACATAGGATATCGCTTTCGTGTCCTGAAAAACGTTTGACTAGCTCTTGGAAATAAAGTACGTTTTCATAATAAGCAGAAGTTACCTGTCCAGGAGTAATTTGGCGACCAATGCGTCAGTCTTTAGACCCTGCGTCTGCTTCAGTCGCGCCATCGCTGGAATGAATCTACAAGAATCACCTTAGTTTGGCTTCGCTGCTTTTCCCCTTGTCTTCTTCTTTCAGCGACCTCAAAAACGGACTTTCTTTTTGCGGCTAACTGCTCCTGGATTCTTGTCTGCCATTGCAACAAACTTTGTGCTAACTGCGAGGAAGATATAGGTCAAAAAAAGCCGCTAAGAACTGTTGCATTGGTGGAGTAAACAGCGTCTGTGCGTCTTGCGTCTGTGGACTGCGTGACAGGCGTACGTAAACCACGTACCGGCGGCGCGCAGGCAGGTCAGTTACGCTAGAAACGTAGGGAGTTTGATTGATAGCCTGTCAGCTAACAGATAACGAGGCCGTGTCGTTATCTATTGGCAAATGTTTAGCTGGCCCCACCACGTCCAGAGTTGATGAATTTTTATTCTCTTTTTTTTGGTCATCATAATTACAAGGCTACTGCACCTCTATAATGCTATCATTGACAACTTGAAACAAAAAAAACAAAAAAAAAATCCTCCATACAACCTTTAAGACCACGTGATAATGTAAAAGAAAGTACTATGATATAATGTTGAAAATTGTACCAGAGTATGAAGGGTATGTTTACCATTATCGTGACCAGAATCAGTATCGAGTCTATTCCTTAGTTCTGAAATTGAGTTTGAAATTTCAGTATCATGACAACACTATTTTGAAGTATATTTTATCTCCTGGAAACTGACCATTCTGTCTTGGTAGGAATCTTTAGTGCGTCTTTTTAATTGTGCCCAGGCTCCCTGTGTGACTTGGACGTTGTGAGTGCTCACTGGAGTTGGTGAAAGAGTGTAATGAGACCGGAGGAGTGTCAGAATCCCCTGTCAGAAGCAGGAGAGATGGCGACAGGCACAAAAGCATTGGGCCGTATAGCAGTGAGAGAGTGGCCATGTCTCTGAGGTGGCACCTGTCACTACACATCAACAACAACAACACAAATGCTCTGAAGACGGAGAGGTGTTGGCAGCTTTGGTTGCATGGGCTGAAATATGTTCTATGGACTTGAGGTAGCTGGTTTTGTGGTATTGTGCTGTGGTGTTATGTGGCGTGGTAAATAGGATGTAAGATTGATTTGATCTAATGTACTGCGCATTGACAGAAAGAGGGGTTATAATCATCATGGATCAAGATTTTAGGGGAACCAGTAAGTATCAAGGTAAACAAAAACAATATAATGAATACTTTTAAATAAAAGACCTATATGGAACAAATACTTGAATGCATTGGCCACTATTAGTAAATATATAATCACCATATAGAATCTATGATAACTTGAGTAGTTAGTTGTAGTAAAAATATGTCTTTTTTTGGGGGGGATTTCAGATATTTGGGGTGACAGTTGTGTATATCTGAGGGTTGGTGGTG